CATTTTTTCTTGCTTAAAATTACCATAAAAGGAAAATTTTTAACAAAACGGACGCGATCAGGAGAGAGTTTTTTGTTGTTATTATTATTATTATTGTTGTTGTTATTATTATAATAATAATAAATAATATTTATGTGATTTTATCAATAATATACACTTTATAGCAGATACTATTACCTGGACTAAAGTAGTTTCTGAAAGTTTTATGCTATTCTATAATCTAATTTAAAAACCAAGGTGCAATATAGCAAATATATCTTCCACTACTGAAATCAAATGGGATCCAAATCTTTACTGGTCAAAGAATAATAACAATAATAATAACAATAATATTAATTCAAAAAATCCAAACCAAGAAGTATTAAATTTCAGATCTAACTCAAATTCTTACAGTAAACTAATAGTGAATCTCCTATCTTTAGTTATGAATAAATTTATTAATAGTAATTACAACTCTACTCTATATTATAAAAATTTAATAACTAATTTTAACAATTTCATTAATAATTCTGAATAGATATTCATAGCTGCTTGCTACTATCTTAGATATGTAATGGTTTTAATATTTATTTTTCTTAATGCTAAGATAGTTTATGTAGACAAGCTAGCATTAGACTTATTAACTTAACTAGTTATATAAAAGATATTATCGCTTTCTTCATATATAAATTTCAAACAATTTTACAATTAATAAAGTAATAATATTTACCTATCAAAATAATAATAATAATAAATAATAAATAATGATATAATTTTTATAAATTGTAATTAATAAAAAAAGATCTATTAATTTTTTAAAAGAAATAAGCCAATTTTAATTTTTTTTGTATTCATATATAAATAAAAAAAGGTCAAATCAAAAATCTTTTTTTATATAATCCTTATTATTAAGATTTTTAAGTTTTAATAAATTTAATTAAAAGTTTTATCCTTATATAACTTAAATTTTTTTAATTAAACTTTTAAAATTGATTTATATATAACAAGACTTGAGAATAGTGATTTATTAAATTAGTATAATAAAGATAACTTTTTATTTTTAAAAAAAAAAACTAGTCTTTTATTCAACATATTTAGTATTGATTTTTTACTTATAACAACTAAAACTATCTAATCCAAATTTTTCAGATTATAGTAAAAAAGAAAATAATCAATGGTTTTCTTTAAAAAAGAATTTTTATTTTTGATAGTGAAAAAAAAAAAAATAACTTGATAAGATTCTTTCAAATTGGTCTTATTGAAATTTTATAAAAAGAAATTTTTTAAAAAATTGAAGAAAATGAAAAGAAGTTTTTTTTAAATTAATTTAAATTATATTTATTAAACAAATAAATCTTAATTCTACTTAATAAACAAGCAAATGTATTATTTCAAGAAATTATATCTAGAATTTAATATTGTTAATAAGTAGGCAAGGTCAAGTAAATTTGTATATACAATTTTTATTATAATGATTCAATTTGATTTAATTAACAAATGACTTTAGACTAATTGAGAATTAAAAAATAACATTTGAATTATAATCTATATAATAAAATTAATACATGAAATCAAATAAATTCAGTATTAGAAATCTTCCATATTCTGTTTAATTAATAAATTTTGTAATTAAATTAATACAATTACAAATATGTTTAATTTAAATAAAAAGAAATGTAAAATATAATTGATTTTTATTTTATCATATGTATTTTAGTATTATTAAAAAATACAAAATAAGTTATATTTGCATAAAAATTGTTCGAATTCTTTATTAAAGCTTTATATTATAGATTGATAAACCAATTTTCTTTTATTTTAAATTACAAAAAAAAAAAAAAGGATAACAATTATTTTTATCATAATAAATGCTAAATGTCATTATATTATAACACATTAAATTTGAATTAAGGCTATTTCTATTATATTAGTGATTCACAATATTTAATTATACTTGCAAAATTGGTTATGAAATTAAGGTGACAAGAAAAAAAAGTAGTCTAGAAAATCACAATTTGATTCGATATACACAATAATGTTTCAGCGAACCTTATAAAATCGCGTGTAATCCCGAGGTGTTAATATGAAACGAAGATTACAGAGACCGATAATTACCGCTCCCAAAAATTTGCTCCAAATAATGCCTGGAAAAATGCTGTGATATGAAGTATTGCTAAAAAGGAAAAAGGGGTGATTTTAATTATGGCAAATATAGCCTACACCTGTTATTAGGGCCATGACTGTGATCCCAGTTAAAATAGGAAACCAAGTCTTGCTTTGACGATCCTTCTTGTTCAGCACTCAGAAAAATATTACTATGCAAAAAAATGCATCCAGAACATACTGTCACTGACGTTTAACTCACGGAATATAAACAAAAAACGCGTTGCTGGTAGGAATTCTTCGTTAAATAATTAAATTTATCTCAACTGCCCTCTTGAATAAACGTGGAGAGTTGCCATTTCGCATATACCTGAATAGATTTTAGTTTGCACGAAACGAGATTGGAATGATTGTCATCCAGAATTAAATATAGCGAGCCTGATCATGTTGGATATACCTTGCTTGTTTTTTGTCCTTTTGACATAGCGTTGTGTAAATATTCACGTACTACAGTTGCCTGCTTTATAATTCGTTCGAGTGCCGATTCGTTCATTTGATTGTCATATGCTAATAAAAAAGTTTAAATTAATATACACATTTCCTAAAGGAATGATTGAATAGTTATTACTTACAAAGTATCATGCTGTTGATTTCGTCTGCTAATTGATCACGACGTGTTTGAGCAAAAAATTTCGCGGATGGGGAATTTTCCGGTTCCGTATATGCGATTATCGAAATCACCTCATCCAATGAATCACGGTATTTTTTCTTTTCATTTGGGTCCCCATGTTCTGTATACTTGCGCAACTCTGTTAGCGCGAACATTAAAGCCTCTTCGGAGTTTCCTGCACGTACAGTTTCAATGAACTGTTGTAAATGAAGTTTGAAGCGCATCTCTGTAGATCGTGAGGTTGCTAGATCATCTTCATCTACAGCCACAACCTTCGGGAAAGTAGCTTGGCACAATAATAATGCAGCTGGGATATTACCAGCTATTATATATTCGCGTATTTCTGAACAAATGAAAAAAAATTTTTCCTGTACAATGACGAGAAGCTGAAGTGCACAAAATGTTAAATCAACAAATGCGAAGCATACAACATATTGTGCACTTACGTTTTCTTACTCCAAGACTTTTCAATGCAAATTCTACATCAAACCCGCTTTTGCTATTTTGTTTATTCCCTAGTAACATGAGAAGCTTTGAGGTATCTTGTGATAAAGAATTGCCGTAGGCATTAACGTGTATATAGCCCTCTAGATTTGGGTCGGTCATTTCTAAATCACCCTCTGCGTCGGTTTCATTTTTGTGATTTTGTTCATACGCGGAATTACCGTTTGGGAATTTTCCATTTTTGATGCAACCATTAGAGTAATTGTCTTCTTTGGAGGTAGCAGTACTTAGGTCCTGGCTATCTTTAAAGAAAACTTTGGCTGTTTCACCATAGCAATTATGTATAAGGTAATCAAGCACTAACTGACGAACTACTCGATCATCGGGTTCTTCTGAAGTCAAAAACTCGTCTGCACAAGGATCCATTGAGGAATTTCCAGATTTGAATTTAATGAAAACTTAGAAATACTCGAGAACTTATATATATACATTTAATGTCACATGTAGGTGACCAAAATTAACGTATTGGCCCAAGTTATAATTAAAAACTTAATTATTATATTTTTATAACTTAATAATTTTATTTACAGAGAACCTTCTTTATATTATTAATCTTGTTCTCTCTCTTTAAGATGTATTAAAAAGGATTTATTATATTACGAATTTAATTAAATTTACTTTTGTAAAATTTAAATATTATATATAAAAATATAATATTAATTAAATTATTAATTAAAATATCAATACGTATATAAAATATTAAAATTTTATAACCAATTAATAGTTTTATTATAAAATATTAATTTATAATAAAAAACTTTTTTCTTTTTCCTTTTTTTATTCTATATTTTTTATTTATTTTTTTTTTTTAAATGCTAAGTGAGGTCTTCCTCAAGGCTTTATTAATTATACGTAGTAAATGAATACATTATATACAAAATCAATAAAGTATGAAATATATGATAATACATATTGACCTGCCACCATGAGCAGATATATCATTGGAAAAAACTTAGAAAGAAAAACCTGAGAA